AGTTCAATATCCATTACACGTCTGTATCTCACTTTCGTCTGCAACGGGGTGTCAGCTTGCCAAAAGCGCTGAAACAACAGGAGAGTCAGACATTTGGGAAAATCTAATTTTACCCTTATATATATATATATATATATATATATATATATATATATATATATATATATATATATATATATATATATATAAAAGCACAGCCTCTGGCTTTTCATATAATAACTAGAGTCAAATAATTGACTTTCTAGAACCCTCCACCTCTCAGCTGCATACACTATTAGGTTATTTTATATCTATTGTATGTCTTGTGTAGGTTCAGTGAGGAGGTCATTGCTTGGCAGAACATGAAAACAAACGTGTCTGATGTCGTTTTGCACACCAGGCAATTACTCTGCCTGAACCTTGTGCTGGTTGTTTGTTTCCCCTGTGTCTTTGGTTGATCCTTGGGTTTGAGTCAAACAAAGCTCTTAAACTGTGACTCATACAAAATCAGAAAATAAACAGGAAAAAAAAAAAACTAACTAACTTAACAATAATTGTTTTGACCTAACCTTCGAGTATGGAGACTGCTTGTATCGCACATTTCTTTGCCAGTGTAGTTTGCAGCCATTTTTAAACGTCTGTCATTGAAAAGACTCAGTTTTTTTTCTGCCAGACCATCTGTCATCCCTCTATCAACTGTCACCGTGGTATCAGGGGGGTTGGTGCCTACCTCCAAACAATACGGGAGCAACCGGCTTGATACACCCTGGAGAGATTGTTAGGCTCAACACATAAATACGTTCTTACCTCCAATTAACTATGTTACTATGTAACTATGTTACCTTGTTACCCCTCCACACTTCTACCCCTTAGTATCAAGTGTCTGTATCACTTGATTTGGTTAGACACAACATTTTGGATAAGGTTCAAGTAGAAAATACTTCCTCTTTAGTTTTCCAAATCCCAAAGAAAGCACTTTATAGTGATCCACTGACCAAGCATTGAAAAATAATTTGGGGATTCAGACACAGCTTGGAAACACTTTGGTTACATTTTGACTTGAACCTTTCAAATCAGCGAAGTGAAGTGGGAACACGAAAAACAAAAAAAAACAAACGTTTAAGATGAGGGGAGTCAAATTTAAATGCAGCTTTAATCACAAAACATTAAGTTGAGGTTACAGCATCCTTCTGGTATGTTCTTATAGAGGATGTTGCATACTTTGTAGAAAAAAGTCTATCATCCTAATGTCTTTAATACAAGTATGCTGAACAGCAGATGCAGATAAATTAAGATTTTGCTCCAGCAGAAAGGTTTCGACTCCCAGATTTTGTATCTACGGTTGAACTCTTGGTGTGGTATTCAAGTAGCGCCCCTCCCTTTTTTATTATTATTATTATTATTATTATTATTATTATTATTATTATTATTATTTCTGTCTGTTTACATTAAGAAAGATTACCCAGCAGCAACACTGATTCCCAGCGATGGCTGGCTGTCAGCCAAAGCAGACTTTTAACTATTTTCAAAGCAGATCAATTCCCAGCCTGTCTGTATGGCTGCCAGCAGCGAGGGACTCTTCTAATTATAACAAGGGAGAGCATGGTCTGAATACTGTTTTCTTTTGCAGCTTGCCGGGGACTCAGTTACACTCCCACACAGGCACCGAATAGATAAATATAAGACATACACCTTCATATGCAGACAACAGAAGGCTGCAGCTTAACATAATTTACATCATAAAGAGTCAAATGAAGTCTAAACGTCTTGGGAGAATCTTATAAGGTGACCTCAACGCATCTCCTGTCTGGGGCAGAATAGACGACACTGGGTCGATCGCAATGAGACAAGAAGTTTTATAGAACCTGTAATGAGTCTAGATTACTCCAGTTTATATCTGAGCGATCCATTTAAATTAATAATAAACAACCCGGTTTAGGTTTGATCAATCTAAGTATGCTACAACGACCAGATGCAGTTCAAATTAAAGGAAAATCTCTGAAATAGTTGCCCGTTTAGCACTATAAAGCAGAAACAACTTTGGAATTGTTTGTGGCTAACGACTAGCTATCTTTTGTGCATTCCCAAAGTGGTTGTGCTTAATTTGTCACTCTTTCTTAGCTCCAAAGTGCTGCATGTGATTTAAAAGTAGGAAACTGAGGATGTAAAACATCTGTCTGCTGAATCTCAATTTCACCTCCAGCATTCAGATGTTAGGGTCCAAATGTGGCGTAGACCACATTAAAGCATGGATCCATCCCGCCTTGATCAACAGTTGAAGCTGACGGTGAGAGGGGTTATTGTGGTGTTGGATAAATTATCTTGGCAAACTTTGGGTTTTTGAGTATTCTGTAAAACCCCCACACCCTACCAGAGCATTGTTGTATTGTATTCCAACGACCTCACCAGATCTTAAGCCGACAGAGCTCCTTTGGGACGTGGTGGAAGGGGTGATTCATATCACCAGTGTGCAGCTGACAAATCTGCACAAAACTGAGAGTGATGCTCTCCGGTCAACACGGATCCAAATTTCTGTCGAACGTTTCGTCAATCTTGTCGAACCTATGCCAGAAAGAGTAAAGACGCTTAAAGGTAAAAGGGGGTCCAAAAGTCATCCCATGAACTACAGTGTTAGGTAACAGACTTTACTTTATTATTAAACATTGTGCCGTCTTAATGTCTATATATTTTGGCTACACCCTTACAAACTGTCACTGCGTGGAGTCTTGGAAAAGCTTTCTTAATCACAGCCAACACAAACAAGCCTATTTTTCTTGTGAACACCTGAACTCTGTGTCACACTGAAACAAACTACAGTCACACATCCTTTCTTTGATGTCAGACAACAATGACCCTTTCGGCCTGAGAACTGCTGCCGCTGCTCCTACAATAACGACTGTTCAAGCTGTTGTTTGGGACTTTAAAAGAAAAAGGAAGAAAAGACATCAGGAAACCTGTTCCTGTGCCTGCTCTGCTGCATGACAAAACACACTTGTTCACCGACACAAACGCACACACATCAATCAGCCTGGTGAGTCACCTTCAGGTTTTTTTGGTATCGTAGGACGACCACTGCACAAAGAAAGAATGTGAGACCTAAAAATAACAGCCATCATTCCTGTGGAATCTGCGGCTCATCCCATGTTTGGCCAGCCTGCGGGAACAGGTTTCTGTGACCTTTCTGAGTAGAGCAGGACCCAGCTGCTGTGACCTGGTTAAGTGTGTGACCTCCTAGAGCAAAGGAGCCGGGCTGCAAAATGTAAAGAGAGAGACATTTCTGAAGTGGCAAGCTTCTGTTTGGAAGGAGGAGCTGTTAGAAAGTGCAGACACACACACTCACTCTCACACACACACACACACACACACCCAGAGAGGCCAGCTGGTGCGTTTCGGAGAACGCTCAGCAAGCCTCTGCCGCAGCGACCGTGCTTGTTCAACATCATGCAGTGGGGGGGGGGAGAGAACTCTTGCACAACACACACATGCAGTCACGCGTGTGTTCACACCCCGACAAAACACATCATTGTCCACGTTGCTAATCACTTCATGTGCTGCCGTCTTCGACGGTCTCCTTCACGGGAATGTTTTCGATCTGACTTAGTATTCTATCTGCTCTTCACCCCGCAGTCTCCGGCTCTCACCCTCTGAAGCAACAGCCCCATAGCTCACTTATTATATTTTCTCGAGAATGTTGCATCAGCTGAACACAGATTGCATATCTGTCTCTCCTCTCCTCGGTGGTATTTTTTTGCAGTCATCTTAACTTCAGATTGCTTACAGTTGGTGTTGTTTACCGAGCCACGGTGGCATCCTTTATATGTGAATGCTTATAGCCCAGCGCTGCTGCAGTTTTATGGGGGTGAGTCATGTTCACATAACAAACAGGCCCTGCATGGGAAAATACTGTATCACACAGGATGCAGAGTTAAGCCGTGTGTTCAGTCCACACCTGAGGCTCTGCAGGGGGCTTGGGAGTTCAAAAGTTACAACAAAGCACACCGGCAGCAGAAAACAAAATGCGAGGCAGACACCGACACTTTGAGTTCACAGATAACGTTGTTAGTTTTTACAGGATGAATTGTGATTTATGTGAAGAAGAACAGAAAGTCACAGTGGTTTGTTGAAGCCCTGCGGCTTTCTTTTCTTCTCCGTTCCTTCAAAACCAGTAAAAGAAAAGTTCAACAGGGACGCCGCTGAGAGCTTTACGGCAGCAGGAATGACCACTGACCTGATGCCAGGGACTTTCTGTGTCATTACAAAAAGTAAATCACATCCCTTCCTTCTATGTGAAATGACATTGTGTGTTTAAAATTTTGCGGTCACAGTTTTGTTGTGTGCTTTGCAAACCAGTATGGGTTTCCTTGTCATTGTGTGTTTCTTTTTTTTTTTCTTATTTCTTATTTTTTTTATCATGTGGTTTGATTGCCGTTTGAAAGGTTCCCGGTATGTTATTGGTTTTATGTTGAAGTTGCGTGTGTTTCTGAATTGTTGTGCTTGCAAAATGTGGTGTTGGGTTTGCCTTTCTATTTTCCTCTGCAAGCTCCCTCAGCGGTGGTTTGGGGTGTGTTGATGTGCTGCATCTCAGCGTGGCGCACCAATGCGACTGACAGGACGGCCCTGCAGAGGACAGTGAGGGGAACCGAGAAGGATCTCCCAGAACCCCTCACGCCTGTGAGACTGCAGCGCATTTTGTTTCCCTCCACAAGTTGTTAAATCGGTGATAAGATGATGAACTTATGTTGTATCTGTTGTAGATTTGCATTTGTTTGTTTGTTTGTTTGTTTGTTTGTTTGTTTGTTTGTTTGTTTTATACATTAATCTTTTAAACTAACCATTGCCTTGGGAATTGGGGATAACCAAATGTAGCTCAAACTCGTTTTATTTGGAAGTTTGGATCTTCAAATTAAATCCGAATCGTCATCAACCAGTCACGCTTCAGGCAAGTGTTATTATTATTATTATTATTATTATTATCCACTCCCCACTGACTGCATAAGGTGAGGGATACGAAACGTGGCACCGTGCGTGGTGAGCTGACAGCCGAAGCTGGTTGTGTTTGTATCTAAGAGGGGGAAAAAAAATAATAAAATACAAGTACAACATGGCGATGTAAGAGCAGAATATTACGAAACGCCTGAGTCAGACAACAAGTTAGAGATGGTTAATTATTGTCTAGGAGCCTGCTTAATGATGTAGGCATGATAAGGTTGACTGACACATGATCTCCTCATTCCTGGCAGCTGCTCCGGTTCTTGTTGTATCAGCGCAATCTCAGAAGTGAGCAGGAATGTGGAGACTCGCAGCGCCCTGTTAAAACTCCCTCTGCCTCATGCCCGCTTGGAGCGCCTTTCTTTTCTTTTTTCTTTCCTTTTCTTTTTTTAAAAATACGTAAGCTGGAAGGTAACAGTGGGCAGAATCATCACACAGACGGGCTGAGCTGGAGTCTATGCTGTTACTGGATTGCTCAACGCTTGTGTCACCAAGAGGCTGGACTGGTCGGGCGGAGTGTTTGAGCTCAACATCAGTGGAGCGCACTCACTCTCAACCTCTGCGAGTGAGGCGGTCTCTTTCTCTCTCTCTCTCTCTCTCTTCCTCTCTTTGTCTGTCTGTCTTTTCCCTTCTTTCTCTGTCGGAGCTTTTCAGGATTGGATTCCCCCCACCCCCCTCTCTCTCCCTCCTCACTGAAAGTACCTCTGAAGAGCAGGACGTTGGATTTTACTGTTCTGAGAAGTCTCCGACGGGAAGAAATGGAGCGCACAGTTGACATATTCTGCTAGGACGCATCTTGAACAAGTGGACTCCCTCTTCAATTTCTGAATCTCATTTTGTCCTAAATGGTGAATCGGCCCTTCAGGATGAACTTGCAGTGCAGCAGCCCGGTGGTTCCCTGCATCCGCAGAGTCGCCCACAAGCGCCTGGACTCGGACGATCAGCCGCCGGCGAAATGCGCGAGGCTGAGCGCCGATTCGGGGGACCCGCAGGGACTCCTCGGCACGTCCCCCAGCTCCCCGGTCAGCCCCGCAGCCAACCCGGTCCCCGCCACCCACCAAGGACCGTCCAGGATAGGAGCGTTCTTGCTGCTGCCCCTGGCGGACCGGGAGAGCCTCCACGGCGCGATGAACACCGACACCGGCGATGAGCTGCTGTGCAAGGTATGCGCAATCCAGGGCATTGTGCAATTTTCTTTCAATGAATGATGTTGCTCAATCGCCCGTCTGACATGTTATCCGTATTTAGCGCACTTTTTTTTTCTTTTTTTTTTCCAGCAAATGTCATTCTCACGCGAAATCTGTTGACACTTTGCGTAATAACAGCGGTGTTGCTTAATGTTTTTTTTTTTTTTTTTTTTTGAGGGTCCTCATGAGGCCGATCAGCTGGAATAAATAACAAATAAACAGTCGCACGCCGACTTGCTTTGTGTTGTGGAAACGCTATCTCTCTCTCTCTCTCTCTCTCTCTCTCTCTCTCTCTCTCTCTCTCTCTCTCTCTCTGTCCGTCCTCAGCACCACAGCTCCATACTGTCTGTCAACTCGGTGTATTTGCATACACGTCACTGCATTACGCCAGGCTGTGACAAACACACAGAAATGCAAACATGTATGGGAAAGATGGAAAGCGATGATAGGGATGTGCCCAGATAAGGAAATATCCCTGCGCTGCTCCACTTTTGTGTGTGTGTGTGTGTGTGTTTTCTCTCTCTCCCCCTTTTTCCACTGTGCATAGAGTACAGTGGATGCGTTTGGCTTTGTTGTTTAATAAAAGTTAATCGCTTCATGTCTGAGTGACTCATTCGCAGAGGCGCATCTAAAAAGTTTTGCAAGAGGGTGAAGGGGGGGGGGGGGGTGCAAAATGGGGACCACTAAAAATTTATGCTGTGGCAAATCAAAACGTCATGACAGAATCTACAGTTTCATGTTATGGTTGCACTTAAAACCTATCTGTAAAAAAAAAATAAAATAAAATAATAATAATTAAAAAAAAAACTAAG